CCCCAAAACCCCAAAACCCCAAAACCCCAAAATATTAGGCACTTATTGTAACTGACTTATTATTCTTAACAAAATTAAGACTTTCTAGAATTGATGGTATAGGCATTAATTCCTGAAACATTAATGTTATTAGTGGCTTCTTCCTCTTCAGATTGAATATTATGGATACTCTGGTCATCATCTTGGTATCTAAACCTCTCATCCATTAAAGGGGTTGGATTTGGACCACTCATTACTAAATCTGACCTGTCTTTCTTCTTTTCGTTGGTGTAGAGTTTTAGATAATCTCTTAATTTTTCTCCAAAACGTTCAGGAGCACGAGGTTTTTCGTTATATTTTATAGCCTCAAATTTAACTTCTTCGCTTGATTCTTTTCCTTCTATTCCCTTAGACTCCTCACTGTACATTCCGGAGGGTTCAAACTGAAGCTTGGGTGTATCTGGGTTACCGTAGAAGTAAATGTCGTCTTTAGGCATATCCTTATTTAAAATCCTGTTAATAGTTTCTGTACTGCTGCTCATAGCGAGAGCCAATTGTGGCTTAATAATCTTCAGATTAGGGGACTCTTCTCTGGAGTTATCCCTTTCTTCATCACTAGGATGCTCTTTGATCAAATTATCACTGTTAAAACTATTGTCAAGATTTCTAAAATTAGTTGCATCCGGTTTGAATTCATCATTTGAATTGATCGATGGGTTGAATTTGGGGTTTAACCTCCTTACATTTGGATTTGAAGAAAAATTATTTTGATGTTTCTTCAGACTCATTTCAGGAGAATCTACTGACTCTATATCCCCTTTAAGAGTTCTCTCCATCTTGTTTCATATATCATCCATTTCAACCAGAGCTGATTTATTCTGATTGGTTAAATTTATTTCTTTCTGATTTCCTTCTTTATTGATACCAGAAAGTAGACCTCTTCTTCCGGTTAGAGTTAAATACTTATCCTGAGACCTAGTCTTGCTCATTCTCATTGGATTTCGATTTTTAGTGTTATTTCGTGCATTTTTGATTTCACAGAAAAGGATGCTTTCATTTAAATTTTTAACTTTATCATCTTCAGGAGTCATACCTCTTTGTAACTTCTTCATCTTCCTTCGTTCTATATTTTTCCTGTTCCTGTAGTAATTCCGAGGAATTATTTCCTCTGATCCTGTTGAGGAAGCTTGCGAAATTTTTCCTGGCTTCTCTAGAAATTTTCTTAGCACTTCACCTTTTCCTTGAGAATCCGAGCCTTTTTGAGACGATCTTCTTTGCTTTTTAGGCGAACCACTCAAACCAAACACTGGATGGCGTCTATCAGTCCAGTTTGAATTAACTTTGGCTAGTTGTGCAGGTCTGGCAAGCATTGCTCATACATCTTTAAACCCCAAGATATTTAGTAATTTTTCATCTTGAGAAGTTAATTCCTTTGACTTGATATTATCAATATACTTTTGAAGCAGCTTATGCTTCCTCAAAACCTTCTTTTTAGTATATCCTAGCAAGTATCTCTCACTTTCCTCTTCAGAGGAGATATAGATCGCATTTTTAAGATCAAGGATTAGTTGCTGATCTTTCTTCAATAGAAGCTTAACCAACACGTCAAGCTTCCTGAACTTCCTCACAATCTCGACTATGTCGATCTCTTGGTCTAGTTTCTCCATTCCTTTGTAGTAAAGCATGAGCTTTCTAGTCTCCCTATTCTTTTTCAGATAGTTTCTCGTACGTCATATCTGGCAGAACACGAGAGATTTGAATATAGACTTGCACTTATAGTCATATTTGAGGGTTTTATAACCAAGTTTATCCAGCATTTTACCTCGAATTTTATCGTATCCCAGCCTCTTGTCTAAGCTAAAATCATCCCCTTCTCCTGCTTCGGGATCATTATTTTCAGAGTATTCTGAAGCTGAGGAGTCATTGAGAGCTCATAGCTTGATCTTCTCCATATCTGTGTAATCTTCAAACTTAGACTTTGCTACGACCTGATTGTTATTATTGCTGAGATAATTGGCGGCTTCGTGATTTGACCCACTCTTATTCTTATTTTTCCTTGCTTTCTTCTCAGCCTTTTTAAATTGCTTCTTGAACTCTTCAGGAGTAGTATCGAAGAAGAACAGAGCTCTTATGAGACTAGCATAGAACATTCTGTAAGAAAATACAGCTGTTATTAAAAAACCAATAGCTTTTAAGGAATTGAAGGATCCTCCCACTTGGACTAAGAAATCTACAAGAGAGAACAAGGATCTTTGGAATTGATCATACTCATCAGAAATCACAAACTGTACTTGCCCTAAATGGTTGAGCCTGTTACATCCTTCAACGAAGTTATGGTGATCTTTGATTTGTATAAACTTAGTTGTATCCTCTAACCAGAAAAGAAGAGGATTTCTTGCTGCTCTATGAACATTGTCTCTTAAGAAAATCCTTGTCCCCGTTCACATAGAAGAAAGTCCGATCTCTGTTGAGTCGTCTGTAATTCGTCCTATCGGGTTATTTTTAGAGCCAAAGTCAAATGTTGCTTTATCATAGACAACCTTCATCCTCAAAGTCTTGAGCTTATCAATAATGACATTTTCTGGTTCACAAGTGATGTCTCCTGACTCAGGGCATTGGTCCACCTTAAATCCCAGCATTGTGTGTTGTTCATTTAGGTTAGTTCCTTCCACGCTGTGGTTGAGGCTTACAGGGCAGAAGTAATCTGCATATCTCTCTCCCAAAATTCCTGTGTTAGAGCACGAGGTAAGATCAAATTCGTTCTCAGCCGAAAGCTGAGGGTTATTCTTATCAATAAGCTTTGTAAACATTTTGAACTTAAAGTACTTAGCATCCTTAAAAATATTACCGTCTTCATCTAGTAATGCAAATCCAATTGGGAATTGTCTGTCTTGGAGATTTATCACAGGATAATTGTTCGGGGTATGATAAATAATGGTACTATCCACTGTAAAATTTGATCCAAAAATCATATTAATGAACAGATATGTACTAAAAAGGGAGATAATTATAATTATGATTAGAGACGTATACATCCCAAGGTTCGTGTAAAATTTATACTCTCCTTTATGCCTCAAGGTGATCGGCTTTGCATAAAAATCTATCCTCCTGAAGAACTTTTTAAAGATCTTAGACGCAGGGATAGTTTTGTAGGAGAAATAGTCATCTTTGAGGTATATATCTCTTCGAGACATGTCATTCAGCTCTGACCTGTCGTCGAGGTAGGGTTTTCCATACATTTCTTAATTCAATTTATTATTCTTATCTTGGGGTTTTGGGGTTTTGGGGTTTTGGGGTTTTGGGG